GAAAACAGAATCCGGGGATCAAAACTTCATCTGATGATGCTGCCTGTACATCCTAGAAGAGCAAAAGGTGGAAGGAGACATGCGCCAGCCGGGACTCGAACCCGGGTCGCAAGGTTGGGAACCCTGCATGATGCCCCTACACCACTGGCACAGCTGTTGAGAGTCTGTCTCAAGAGAAGCAATATTTACATCCAGGGTTTCTCTTTCCCCATCTGATGGCGGGAGAGAGAAACACACTGGATGTGGTGACCAAGGTATCTTATTGCTGTCTAGCCTGTCTATGAATGCTCAGATGGAGGGAGGCAAGAGTGAGGTCCATGCCAGGTCTCTGTGGCGCAATGGGTTAGCGCGTCTGGCTGTTAACCAGAAGGATGGTGGTTCGAGCCCACCCAGGGACGGCCTGCTTGATGAATTGAACAATCTATGAAGGCAATGGATTGTTTATCCATTCGGTTCTTCATCTTGGAACTGCAGTTCCCACCCTCTCAGTATTTTTTTAAAATATTTAGCCATCTACTTCATTTGCTTTATCTCCCAGAAGAAAAAGCAGACAAGGCCCCAGGCTTGAGAGAGGGGAAATTATTTCTACATCTTGCTTCCTGCAGAGAACACAAGATCAGATGAATTCCAGCCTCAGCCTGTACACAGGTTGCAAGGGAAGAAAGCTGAGTGCTGATTCCCAGCTTTGTGCAACTGCCCAAAGGAAAAAGGAATCTTGTTCCTTTTAGGACAAAAGGTTTCTGCAGAAGAGACAGGTAGGTAGCTCCTGTATCTCGTGGAAGCTCTTTAAAGGAGGTGAAGGTTTGGCAATTTCACCAAGATGCAATGCAGGAAAAAAACTCCTAGACCCATGATGATGAATCTAGGGTACGCATACCACATGTGGCATATGGAGCCATTTGTTAGGGCATGCAAGGCGTTGCCCTCTCAGCTCCAGCACACATGTGTGTACTGGACAACTGACTTTGGCCTTCTTTTTTTGCCATTTTTCGCCCTCCGGAGCACGAAAAACGGCCCTACGGGCAACCCGGAAGTTCGGCAACAGTTACTTCTGGTTTGCCTGTAGGGCTGTTTTTCTCCCTTCAGAGCATTCAGGGAAACCTCCTGAAGCCTCCAGAGGGCCTCCTGTGGGAGGGGGAGCTGTTTTCATTCTCCCCAGGTTCCTAGAAAGCCTCTGGAGCCTGGGGAGGGCAAAAAATGGGTCCATCGTGGGCCAAAAGTGTGTGGGGGGAAGGCGGATGTCTCGCATGCATGCGCGTGCTGGGTGTGTCTCGCACACATGCGCATGGGGTTGTAGTGGTGTCACACACATAGCATTATGGGTGCGCACGACCCCCCTGTGCTCCCCCCACTTTTGGCATGCAATCTGAAAAAGGTTAGACATCACTGTCCTAGAAGTCTTTCTGGAATGAACTGCTTGCCTCTGTCATTAACCTTCTAAGATTTGCTGATAGTTACATCCACCCAGATGGGCAAATCTTTAAAAGATCAGTGGCACCATTCGATGTGGAAACACTGAATTGCTCACATGAGCTCTTCAGTTAGATTCTTTCCACTTTTTAATCTTTGCTTGTGACCAATGGATCCTGTTCCAACTGCTTGTAACATAATGGCTTGTATGGGGGATCTTTTGCAAAAGGAAAACTCTCCTGACATGCAGGATTGAATCAGCAGCCTGAGAATGCCTTGCGTTTTGCTCCCACACCTTTCAGTCTTATCACTGACCTCTGGAGGGCCCAAATCTCTAAAAAATAAAACCAGCTCTTTAAGCCCTCTCTCACTGGGAATATCAATCTGGAATGGCCAGCAAAAGATATGGATGTGCTCATTGAGAGTTATCCATATGTCTGGTTTCTGTGGTGTAGTGGTTATCACGTTTGCCTAACACGCAAAAGGTCCCTGGTTCGAAACCAGGCAGAAACACATCTTTTTCTCAGCATCAGAGCCATTTCAAGTTCCAAACATGTACAAGAAATAGTTTTTCCTCCAGATCAAGAAACATCTCGTTTTCTTTTCTCCCTCTTCCAAGGAGAAGCTAGAGGGAAGACAGCACTTTGTCCTTCCCTGGTGGTCTAGTGGTTAGGATTTGGCGCTCTCACCGCCACGGCCCGGGTTCGATTCCCGGCCAGGGAAAGCTTTTCCTTTCAACCGATCCATTATTCTGAAGCTTCAGAAAGGCTTGTTTTCAGAGAGAATTTGAGAGATAATTTTTAGAGAGGCTCATTTTCACAACATAATAGGCTCAATTGACCGGAAAATTGTCCTCCCTTTCCTTTCCTTCTTTTTTTCTTTTTCCCATCCCACTTTTCCCCATCCTTTGGGCCTCCTAGCAGGCTTGACAGAATCTCCATCCAACTAGCCTATCTTAGAATGTCAGCTTGGACAGATGGTGAGTGCAAGAATTGCTAGATAACTTGAAGGGTGCAAAGCTGCCTGTGGCTCATTGGGGGAGACAGGCGGGTGTCAGCCCTTCACATAGGCTGAGATGGAGCTGAATCCCATGTCTGTGGAGCACAAGAGTGTCAAGGGGTCTGCCTGCTAAGCAGAAAAAATGGTGTTTTTCCTGGCCACCGGACCGTGTTTTGGAGGAGGAGGAGGAATTGGAACTGGGACTGTTTGATGGGAATGGCATGTCTCCCTTGGAATGTTTGAAGAGGTCAGGGACTGAGGACTATGCTGTCCCAGGACCCTCAGGCATTGGGGGAGGTGGGCAACCAGATGGAGAGCTGCTGCCCTCACAGACACGGGAGGATCAGCTGCAGGCAGGCAGTGGTATGGAGAGACAGCAGATCCCCTCTGATGAGGAACAGCTGCCTCCCCCATTGATCCAAAGGCAAGAAGAGTAGAGCATAGGCAAATTTAAAAGGAGGGCTGCAAGGGTGCTTGGGAGAAGGTTGCCCTGCCCTCTCTCACAAGGAAAACCTGGCATGGGATGACTTAAGGAGAAGCCGGGAGAGTTTGTCCTTGTCAGGAACGATTGTTTGCTTTGGCTTATACTCCCCCGGCTTTGGAAAAACCCGGCCTGGACTCTTCTTTCTGCCTGTGCTTTTGCCTTTGCCTTGTGGACTTGCCTGACCCTTGCCCTTTGGACCTTGACCCTGGACTTTGCCCCATGAGGTTGTACCTTCTCTTTGGACTTCCTCTCTGCCTTTACTAATTGGTTTTGTTTGTCGACCAGCTTTTGTTTGTGGGACTGAGGGTGGTTGCCTTGAGGGAAGTGGAGTGGAGTGGAGCCTTACCAGTCACTGTAGGGCCATTTGTTGCTAAAGCAGACGTAAAGTGAGATTTGGACATTAAGTGTGAAAGCTACTGGGTTTCAAAGACAATCATAGCTCTGGTCATTTCCCCAAAATCTGGCCTCCCCTGCCTTCTCCCTGACGTGGTGATTCAATAGGCTAAAAGAATTGTGTTAGGAGAAGTTTTGTGTGAGAGACAATTATGAGCCTTTTGTGGCTCTGGCTGTTATTGGCAAAGAGCTTGCTAAGTGATAATGTCTTGAATAGTAGTTCCCAAATGTTGCAAAAATCCCCGAGCATCTCCCCTTGCTCTTGAAGAAAGATCC